GGGCTGAGAGTTGGCACAGGGAGGTAAGTGAGCATGCTGACTACGAAAACAAGCAATGCGGATTGAAAGATGGAGTGAGGAAAGACAAATTCCGGATATGCCAGCTTGTAATTCGCAGAACTTCTAAGTGTTCAGTAAGAAATAACATAAAAGCAAGCAAGAGATTAGAGAAGCCTAGAATGAGAGAGTGAAGTACTGGAATAAAGATGAATGTGAAACTTCTTATGATTTACGCAGCCAGTGAATCTAAGCGAAACAAAGAAGTGAAGAGCATATTCTAAACAAAGGCAAAAAGGAAATTAAATATGAGCTTTTAATTTTGCTCATAAGCTACTCGTGTGATAAAGCTAAGTAAGGTGACCACTTTCAAACATTCTCATATTCAACTTTCTGTTTGCTCATCGCCGCCATGGCACTATTCCGCAGATCCGCCGACTGTAGTTGGCTCATATTCCATGTTTTCACAAAATCTAATGATTCTTCTATTGTGTGATTACGAGCATGGTTGAGAACCTGAAAATCACTTGTGCTTTGGACAACCCTAAAATATTTTGCAAATCTACCTCTTTTGTGCCTTGAACGGCTATTGGGCTTTTTTCAGCGATTAATCTCGCCAGATCCAATGCTCCTTCAACGAGTTCTTTTTGGTTGTCGAAAATTCGAGAAATTAGACCTGGAATCATCGTTCATAATAAAAATTAGCAAATTCGTCGATCATTTGCAGCTGAAATGTGTTTCGCACACCATGCGCGCTACTTCACGACTGTGAGATTCGAAAACGCTCATTTTCAGTGTTTTCTATTCATCTCGTGCCTTTTTTGGTTAATTGAATATGTTTTAGTGGAAGTACGCAGTTCTGCAATTTGTCAAGCAATAAGACGTTCTACTAAGCATTACTAGTGAGGATGTCGTCGGTTGCCGCGCATAGTGTGCAAACTCACATATAAAGTTGCAAATGAAACTCGAGTATAGCACATTACCAAATTTAAGTGCATCGTCGGCAGATATATCCTTCGCTGTATAGGCGACTTCTCGTATCCAGCTGCTATTCCCAACAACTTTTTCAATGCGGTTTAATGTCCCCACGTCTGCGGTCATGCCAATGTCAACTTCCTACAGTAATATTATTTTTTCAGGTATGTTCGAAAACGAAAATTCACCTTAATATTGAAAACAGCATCACTACTCGAGTAACGAACGTCACAGGCGGTAATTAAATCTACTCCAGCACCATAACAATGAGAATGAATAGCAGCTATTACTGGTTTTGGGCATTTCTAAATTTTTATACTCAAACACCCCGCCTCTCACACAAAAAAAA